GAGTAGGGAGGAGGAGGAGGAGGAGGAGGAGGAGGAGGAGGAGGAGGAGGAGGAGGAGGAGGAGGAGGACGAGGAGGAGGAAGAGGGCCTTCGGCCCAGCCCGCCGGCCACCCCACGGGCCGCTTTCCCCGCCTGCTCCCCGCCATCGGCGCGCCCGGCCCCGGGGCGGCTCCTGCAGGACCCGCCCCCCTCGACGAGGGCCACGACCGGCCTCGGGCGCCTCCGAGACCAAGAGGGCCCAGAGGTTTGTTCTTTGGGAGGAGGAAGACGAGGAGGAGGAAGACGAGGAGGAGGAGGAGGAGGAGGAGGAGGAGGAGGAAGACGAGGAGGAGGAAGACGAGGAGGAGGTGGAGGAGGAGGAGGGGGAACGAACAGTGACATAAACATATGAAAGCTCGGAGGGCCGCGCAGATCTCGGAACCGCGCTGGACCCCCCTGGCGGCGCCTCCGGCGCCGCCCCTGGCGCGCTCCACGCGCCAGGGAGGGGGGTCCAGCGCGGATGCAAGAAATCCGCGCGGACCTCAGAGTTTTTCCCTACCTAGGCTCTACCTAGAAGGGTTCTTACTGGCTGTGCTTAAAGGAAAGCAACGCAAAGCAAAGCAAAGCAAAGCAAAAGCAAAAGCAAAGCAAAGGAAAGGCAAAGCGAAAACAATGTGCAACAGTACGATCAGAGAGCCCACCCGGTGAGCGAATGCAAAACATGCGTGTGTGTGTGTGTGCGAAGGCGAAGCAAAAGCAAAACCAAGCAAAAGCAAAAACAAGCAAAAGCAAAGGCAACTACGACGATGAGGAGAAGGAGGAGGACGGCGTTTACCGTTACTACTAATGCTGCTTTCCTAGGGGCTCCAACTCCTAGGTAGGGTCGCACTGGGGTAATTATGTTTATGTCATTTTCGTTCCCCTCTTTCCTTGAGGGAGAAGATGGAGCGGACCGCAAGCCACAAGAGCAGGCTTCAAAGCGCGAAGACCTCCACACACACCTAAAGCCGAAATTGAAAGAGCACGTGGGCACATACAAAGTGACACCAAGGGCTACTCGTGACAGTTATTGCCCAGGCATTTTGGTGAAGAGGAAGCAGGCTGATGTGCGCAGCACCGCACGAGCCAAACATTTACACTGCTAGCGTACTAGTATGCTGGTGAGCGACGATCAAAGACGGGTCTTACGCGAGATGGCACAGCGACCTTACGCGGTCGCTTACGCGGGCCGTCCGAGCGGCACGCGACCTTGGAGAAGAGAGCGCTTACGCGCGACCTTACGCGGGCAGCTTGCGCGCCAATGTCGGCGCAGACGACCCCCTGTTTGTTACGTCGCTTGGGTGGCTCCAAGAGGTCTCCAGCACGACGAGACAGGACCACCAGAAAAGGGCCCTGGGTGGGCCTTCAAGAGGGCTCCAGGAGGCCGACAGAACGCCCCAAGAGGGCTCCGTCCAAGGCCCTCCAGGAGGCCTCAGACAATGCAAAAATCACTGGTTTCCTCGCCTTTTCGGGTTCGGGCCTCCGACCGCCCAGGCAGCCCCGGAGGCCTCACAGATAGCGCCAGGAATACCGCCCCCAAGATGGCTCCAAGACGGCACCGGAGGCCCCCAAGGCGGTCCCAGACAGCCCAAAATACCACCAGAAAAGCCCCGAAGCGCCCCGAGAGGACACGACACGAACACGGCCCCAAGACGGCCTCCGAGGACGTCAGACGGGCCAAGAGAGCCCTGAGGCAGCACAGGAAGCCCCCGAGAGAGGCCCTGGGATGCCCCCAAAAGGCCCCTCACAGGCCTTCAAGCGGCCCCCGGGAAGCCCCTTGGAGGCCCAAGAGTTCCAGGGGGGCCCCTCTTTCTCCTCCTCCTCATCCTCCATCCTCCATCCTCCATCCTCCATCCTCCATCCTCCATCCTCCATCCTCCATCCTACATCATCCATGATCCATCCTCCATCCTCCATCCTCCATCCTCCATCCTCCTTCTCATCCTTTTCATCCTCCTCCTCCTTCTCCTCCTCCTCCTCCTCCTCCTCCTCATCCTCCTCCTCTTCCTTCTCCTCGTTGTCCTCCCCGGGAGAAATGACAGAGGTGCATTATCTGCCGGGCAGAATGAAGACGGGTCCACAATTTCCAGGGGTCTCATGTTTCCCCGGGGATAATTGGCAAGGAGTCGTTATTCCCCATGAAGAATGGACAGCGATTCAACACAGATTCCCGAATGTGCGACCGTGGTAGATTATTCTGGAATGAGCAATCGAGGGTTCAAACTCATGTCACACCCGTCATGTCGTTATCCTCCTGCCACCCCTCCTCCTCCTCCTCCTCCACCTTTTCTCTTCCTCCTCTCGCTCCCTCCTCCTCCTCCTCCTTCTCCTCCTCCCTCCACCTTTTCTCTTCCTCCTTTCGCTCCCTCCCGCAAATGTTTTCCAAATAATTTCCACAACAGCTCGGGGGGCAGACTTTGGCCAAATTAGTTGGGCGGCGGTGGCTCACCGCGGGCGTTTTCGATAATGAATACGCTGCTCC